CCCCAAATGCTTGCTTTAGCATTTCATAGGTTTCCGTAGCTGTTTTGGTGAGTCTTTGGCAAAATTTGATTTGTTCATGAAAATCCGCCATTCCGAAATCGCAGGAGAGTTGGTGTAATGCACTACCAAAACGCCCGTAACTAAGAAACAAATGCTAATTCGATAATGCCGGCTGGCACACTTATTCATTATGAATGTAGGCGGCACCCCCTAGCGGCAGAAGCTCGTACTACATCCGGTTCGCCCTCTATTGACACAATCTGGAAACTTTCCGATCGCACCTCGTATTATCCAAAATAGGCAATGATTCAGAGCATGTGAAATACTGGGACCACAGACTACGGAAAACTGATCTGAATAAATAATAACGGGAGTAAAAAACAAACACATTTCAAAATGGTAAAAACAAAGCTCTTTACAAACTATAATCAAACTCGTTTTTATTTTGCAGACTATACCTCGTATGGTAGGTCCCTGTCACCACAGCATGGCCCGTCCTCAGGTTGCGGATGGAGGAACAGCATCCAGTTCTGGTGGTTAGCCACAAATATATTGAATTAGCAGTCGCAGACAGCCGACAAGTGGTGGTACTCCAGATTGGGAGCTGGGTGTGAGGCCAACAACATTTTGCTATCCTGTCACATAAAAATTCTGCTTGGAGATTTCAGTACAAAAATTGAGAGGATATTATCAAACCAACAATAGGCAACAAGAGTCCATATGAAATTAGTAATGACAATGGCGTTAGAGCAGCAAACTTTGCTAAATCAAAACATCTAATTGTAAACAGTCAAAAATGTTCACATCATGATATTCATAAATATACTTGAACATCTCTATATGGTAGTACACACAATCAGATAGAATATGCTTTAGCAGATAATAGAAGGCAGACAAATATAATTTATATGAGGTCATTTAAAGGACAGATTGTGACACTGACCATTATCTGATAGTGGCAAAAGTATGGGAGAGGCTTTCAGTAGATTTACAAACTAACCAAAATTTCAACACAGAAAGATATGATTTAAAAAAAATTAAATTAGGGAGAGGTAAAGAAACAATGTGAAGTAGAAATTTCGAATATGTTTCAAATATTTCTTCTTCTTCTTCTTCTTTAGCACTACAGCCCTTTCAGTGTAGCCTTGGCTTCTCTTGCGATCGATGCCCAGGCTTCCCTATTCTGTGCTTTTCTTCTCCAGCCTCTTACACCCATCTGTTTAAGATCAGACACCATGTCTTTGATGCACCGGAGTTTTGGTCTTCCTTTCTTTAATTTGCCAGGAGGTTTACTATTGATGATCATCTTACATCCTGTATCATCACTCACTCGGAGTATATGTCCAAACCATTCTATCCTTCTTGCCTTTATTACAGCTACAATATCTGAGCTTTTGAACTGCCTCTCCAGCTCGATATTCATTCTAATTCTCCATAGGCCATTGTCACATATTGGACCAAAAATCTGCCTTAAAATTTTACTTTCCCAGGACATAAGCATTCTTTCAGTTAGAGATGCTAAAGTCCAGCATTCAGATCCGTACAATACTATAGGTCGTATTATAGTAGTGTACAACCGCACTTTAAGGTTTTGGTGGATATACTTTTTCCTAGAGTATAGGTTTCAAATATTAGAAACAAATAAAATGATGAAAGTGTGAATATCAACAGGGAATGGGAAAATGTCTGAGACTATATCAAAATTTCATCCAAAGAGAAACTAGGATCCTACAGGAGAAAGCAAAATTAACCATGGCTCGATGAAGAATGTTCAAAATTAATAAATCAAAGGAGGCAAACAAAATTTCAATGATTGCAGGACCCAAATTAATATGGACAATCTTTGTAATGTGAGACGTGAAGCCAGAACAACTTTTAGGAATAAAAAAGGGAATATCTCAAAGGTAAAGTTATTGAGCTGGAGACAAATAGAAAGGACAAAAATATCAGAGATCTGTACAGAGGCATAAATGATTTTAAGACAGGATATCAACCTCAGAATAAACTGGTAAAGGATGATAATGGCAATTTACTTGCAGACCCAATCAAAATTTTGAATAGGTGGAAAAATTTCTCTAACTAGCTTTTAAATGTTCATGAGACTGATGATGTTGCAAAGATTAAAATATATACAGCTGAACTGTGGGTGCTAGAACCTAGTTTAGACAAAGTTGAACTAGCCATTGGGAAGTTGAAAGTTATAAATCTCCAGGTATTGATTAAATTCCAGCAGAATTAATTAAAGCAGGTGGCAGAAAGTTGCATATGCTTATTCAGGTAATTTATGATATGCACGAGATGCCACAAGAATGGAAGGAATCCATTATTATTCCTATTCATACGAAGGGGGACAAAAATGAGTGTGGTAATTTCCGAGGAATTTCTCTATCAACCCCATACAAAATTCTATCAAACATTTTTCTGGTGACATTAACTGCATATATGGAAGAAATTATTGGGGATCATCAGTGTGGGTCAGATGTAACAGATCAACAAATGATCAGATCTTATGGATACTAGAGAAAAAAAATGGGAGTACAGTTGCTTATAGATTTCAAAAAGCCTATGACTCTGGTAAGAGAGAAGTGTTACACAATATTCTCATTAAATTTGGTATACCAAAACAAGCCAGTAAGTCCGATAAAAAAGAGCTTCAATGAAACCAGTAGCAAAATTCCTATAGGTAAATATTTATCAGCGTAATTTTCCATCAAGAACTGTCAAAAACAGGGAGATGCTTTGTCTCCCTTGCTCTCTTTAACTTTTCACTAGAATACACCATCAGGAAAGTCCAAGATAGGCATGAGGGTTTGCAGTTGAATGGGACACATCAGCTACTGGCATATGTTGATGTTAATTTATTGGGAGATAATATAAAAACAATAAAGAGGAACAGAGAAGTTTTACTAAAGGCTAGTAGACAGGTCGGGCTAGAAGTCAATTAAAAAAAACCAAGTGTGTGATTGTATCTCATCAGCAGACAAGCAGGTAGAATTGTCTTAGGGTGGTTAATTAATCCTTTGAAAGTGTGACAAAGCTAAAATATTTGGAAACAATCACAAATCAAAATGATACTCATGAGGAAGTTAGTAGGAAACTAAATTTTGGAAATGCTTGCTACTTTTCAGTTCAAAATAATTTGTCTTCCCGTCTGATTTCTAGGAACCTGAAGATTAAAGTATACAAAACAATAATTTTGCCTTGTTTTGTATGGGTGCAAAACATGGTCTCTCACTCTGAGGAAAGAACATAGATTGCAGGTGTATCAGAAAGGGTGTTGAGGATATTTGGGCCTAGGAGAGATGATGATGGGGTATGGAGAAAATTGCCCAGGATATGGTTCAGTGGTGGGCTATGGTTAATTCACTGATGAACCTTTGAGTACTGTGAGACATCTAGTCAGTTAGTTATGGATTCTTTCGGGAATTGCTAGGTGGAAGCAACACCATTCAGTACGCAAAAACAAACTTATGCAAAGACGTTAGATTGCTGATGTTTTCTGATGATTTTCATGTGCTCTTGAAAACTGAATTGTGTTTCGTCATAAGGAGAAAAGCTTCCAGCATAATGTAAGTACAACTTAATCCCTAACTTCTCCTTGAGGATCTCAAATATCAGTTTACTAAGATGTTACACTAAAGTCACGATTGAGTCCTAGTATTGACAAAAACCCGTGTTGCATTAGCCAATTACGGAATGAAACTATACCTCAATTCCTCCATGTCTTCAGAGCATGGTGCTTAGTTAAGCATCACAGATAAATTTGCATTGTCTTTATAAGTTTAACAAAACTTATGCTTGTCTCAACTTAAAATTATTACACAGAATGATTTACACTGCCTGCAGTATCTTATTCATAGTTTTCTAAAAAAATTATCAATTGAGAGAGAATTGATGTATAACCTACTACTCTCTTCTCTCATTTCAATAATTTATACAAATCTTATATTAAACATTTTTAAGTGTGGTACTTGAATTCACATCTCAAGACCAAATACAGATTATGATGGAACAGAGATAATTCTGTGCACATAATCCTCCTGTAAATTTCAAACACGAAACGCGATTTCGTGTAGGCCTACATATAGCAGCATCCTTCACCTCAACATAAGCCTGTCACAAAATAAACAGAAAAATTGTGAATCTGGATTCAAAATCACCTTAATCTTTCCTCCCATAAAAAGGAAGTACACATCAATGTAACTAAATTCCATCATGTCGACACCAGTGCAGAACGGTATTATTCGTCTCCATGTTTTCACTTTCTTTATCTTCTATTCATGAATGTTGTGTGCATCTTTATATTCTAATCTGTGACTCAATGTTTAACAGCAGAAATA